ATCGAGTTATCAAGGAAACAGAAGAGCTAAGGTCATTACCTGTTGAAGAACTAAGTACCAAGGAGTAGAATCGTTACCTGTTCACAGAATTCTAAGAACTAAAAATCACACAAAACTATGTAGTTTAATTTTAGTAGTAAATTTGAAATCATAGCGGTAAACTAGAAGGTATAAAATAGGTACAGAAAAATATTAAAGTTCTTTTTTTTAAGGGTACAGTATTGTGGTATAGGTATGGTTAAGATAAGAGTTGTTGTATCTCCAAAAAAAAAAATTTGAATAACCACCATTGTCATGCATTTTTCCACACATTTCAAAAAAGCCCGATAGTCAGATTTTAACTTATACAGGCTCATATATTATATTTGGCAGAAATGCTATGGGGTCAGGAAAAAAAAACACCCCCTCGTACTCGTATTTACGCGCTTCCGTTTACACCCATATTCAGTCAAAAATGTCAAACACATGCATCCCAATGTGTTACTATTTCTCGCAGACCTCGGATGCATTTCTCTCCACACTAGCTACATATTTTAGATCATGAAATATTGTTGGCAATTCTTTATTTAATGCTGGTGGGTCCTGAACACCCATCATCACTGGTCGGAGCCTCATGCCACAGGGTCTTCTCAAATTCATATAATAATAATACAAGTACCGTACTACAGGATATTATATATCTCTTACCCACTCCACCTCCCTCCATCTTCTCCCACCAGCCCTCTTTGCCTTTTGGTAAGTTCACCACACCTTCAACCCGGGCATCCCCTTCCTCCAGGCCGCCGATATGATACTATTAAGTTAGCACTTAACCCCACACCCAACAACGGCTGGGGAAGGTTGTCATATATGATGGTATTCACGGCAAATGCCCGCCTTACTGCGCAAAACGCCAGATAGTCCGGCATATTTCCCAAAATACTGCGAAGTGGGAAGAACATCTCTTTCTTGGGGCCTTGGTTGGCGAAGGGAGATTTTCTCGAAGACGAGCGTCAACGGACCCTCGGTAGCCACATTTCTAATAGTGCCGAACTGGTGTGTTTCCCTCAGCATAGGTGTGTAGGCGCTGGGATTAGTTGGAGTAACCTCCGGATCCGGCACATCGACGATTTCCCCATTTTTAAATGTATGCTTTTTGGCCTCTTCGGAGGTAGTAAAGAAGATAGAAATCCTCACCCCTCTCCCCTAGAGCTATCTAGTCACCAGCGGGCACACGTTCCAAGACGCCTTGGGCATTTTGCATCTCCGCTCCTGATGACCGGGGTCCGTTACAGAGTTTCCTGTGGGCGAGTTGTTGGTTTGGATGTCGAATCCACTTCCCCCGAGCCCTACCTGGTGAAAAAAGTGGCCTTACCAAAGCCGAAAAGCTCTCGATTCGGTCACGCTAGGACCTTCTATATCTTCCCCGGGGACAAGTTAGAGAAGTGCAAGTAAGGAATTTCTCTAGTCGCATCTCCCTTATTCCAACAGCTTACGCCTCTTGATATACGTGAAGCGGAGGCATTTGTAATCAGAGTCACGGATACGACCGATCTGCCCATGTTCCTTTCTCAGGGACGGGTACTGACCAATGTTGCCTGCCAGTGCCTCTTCTACCAGCTCCTTGATAATATTAACACATTTGTACTTGAGTCCATAGCATGGGCAGTGTCCTACCCCCTCCAGACCTTCTTCCAGATAACACTTGGAGCCGACTAGCCTACCGGCATTCGGCATTGCAATTGGGGGGCCGAGGAGTAGTATGGTCGCCTTCTTTCTGGGAGGGGACGCCAGCCATCCCCAAGAGCAGCTGGTGTTGGGTATAGAAGTAGTGTAGTTTTCGTGATACCAACACCAAAGGTAGTGAGTGGACGGCCAACTTGTCCGGAAAGTAGGAGCTAGAGTGCTAGAGCGTGTGACGTTTATAAACTTGTTGGTTTATTTTGGAAGGGTCAGTGATGGGAGTCATCTATTATAGAATCGTGATAACACCATCGACTGCGATTCCCAAGTGAATTATTTAAGGTTGTGCGGTACCGGCAGTCTAAATCCCTTGTATCCGTACAGCGCTTTACGGCACGGTAGTCTGCTCCAGTATGATACCAGGATCATCAACCTTTCCTAGTAATTAGAAGTGGTCAGTCTATCCAATGACAAAAAATGCGTTCCGGAATAACTAGCCGTGGAAGCCGTACCGGAGACTTATAGCTATTATGGGATTCCATCCTCAGTAGTTTAAACCAACGATGATGATCTGATACGGTGTTCATGAGGAAAGCTAGAGCGCATCGGATATACCCGAGTAAATGCTGCGAACTTCAAACCCCAAATATATTTGATCAGCGAGACGCCCCAACGACCGACCGAGCTTAAGCAAGAGAGAGCGATGCGCTTTCATTTGCTTGTACAGTCTCTCTTCCCATGGCGTTTCGAGGGACATCTGCGATATCATAGCCATTGGGTCGCACATTCTTCTCGTACTAGTACATCATAAATTGTTTAAGGGTGCATCGATCGACGCAGCCAGGGGGGCGCTCACTTGGGAACTTTCTACCGTACCGTACTTTTCTTTTGCTTCAGCCGTTTGGACTGGACCGTACTTATCAAGCAAGCACAAATCACGGTCGCCAATAAGGGCACAGGTATGATACTGTACGAGTACTCGAATAGGTTGGGTTCTTGGCCACCGCCCAATCCCCGTTCTTGTGGCCCAAGGGGTGGGCAAGGACCACGGTTGGGTAGAATTTTCAATTTAGGGTAGAACCGGCGTCAAAATTTCGCTTGACGTCCCACACTTGTCTTTTCAACGGCAGAGGAAAAGAATAAAAAATGAAACTGAATTGGCGGCATGGTTCTTGGTGATCCTTCGGCACGTGCTCCGCGAGCTCGTGTGTGCTCTTGGGTTTAGACCAGCCCCACCCCAGAACCCCGAATATTGTTTGCTATCATACTAGTTCGCTTGCATAAAAACCGGAATGACCGAGAATCTCGCCAGGACGTTGGAGTTGCCCCCCCCACCGGAATCATGGTCAGGTCTATTATATTTTCCCCCAGTTTGTCTCAGCCGAGAGATGAAAGAGAAAACTTCGCTGCCTTTCCTTCCCTTAATCCAAAGGGGGAAATTCTGGACGTCCTATAACAGCGTAATTCCTAATTATTCCGATTTTCACGGCACTTGTATCGTAATACTCGAGCACTGGGATAGAAGAGGATGGGCGTGGGGTGAAGAAAAAGATGACTTGTGGCCCGTGTGTGTAGGGAAGACATGGGATTTCCGAGAATCGGCCTATGCTTATCTAAGCTATTATGCGAGCTATGCAATGCAAACCATGCACTTCACTGCTCCCCTGTATTTTGAGCTTATGATACTTTTCATCTCACGTAAAAAGAAGGGTAAACTCCATTCGGTACGACTTTGACTGCCTGTGTGGTGCTCCAAAAAAGCGCCCCTGACATGCCTACTGTAGGGCGGCAGGTCCTTTAAAGATATACCGGTACCCTAAATCCTCTCGGTCTGCCTTCGTCTCCAGCCAAGCGAGGAATGTATCGCCCAGAAGTCGTGGGGGTGGGTTGTAAAAGAGATGGGGGAGCAAACGAGAGAAAAGAAAAAATCGAGCAAGTCATCACCGATAGCTTCCCGCCACATCTCAAATACCAGTACAGGAACACAATATTTGGTTCATCTCATCCCATGGGGGAATTTGGTGGGACTTTCAACAGTGATGAATTTATTAGGCAGTGGCTGAGGAAATGAACTAGTAGGTATAGTACAATACTCGAGTATCGATGACCTATCAATTGCCGGGTAAATTAGTCAGAAACTGTCAAGTTCCTCGCCAGAAACGCTAGGGCCACATTTGGCCACGATTGGCTGAACTTGGTTAAAAAATTGAATTTATCAGTGGCTTCGGTGCTCAAATGGCTTGGCACTCTCGGTGGGTTTATAATCTCGGCAGATCAAGAATCTCAAATCATTTCGGGACAGGCTTGGCCGGGTTGCCGACGAATATGACAATCTCTAACCGCCCAGGGGATAGGGAGCCAGTTGCGGTGCACCCTACAACTTTTTTTTCCTTTTTTTTTTTTTTTTTTTTTCCTCAGTTGTTCGACATGGAGAATATTAAATCCTCCATGCACAATACCAGTCAACTTTGCGGGGGGGGGAGGCAAAAGCCAATACCGTACTCTCTTTCATTTCTCCTTACCACACCCTACCGTATTTGCACAAAGGGGTAGGAGAAACTGCAGTGTGTGTGGGGGGAGATAGATAGACAAGGCTGAATGGGTGGCGGTTGTGTCGTTGGAACAAAAATTGCATCCGTTACGGATCACAGATTTTGGCTGAAATCGGTCATCCGGACGCGGCACAGGGATGCAAATGTGGTCCGAAATACTCGTTGACAATGCGTGCTTTTGCTCCCGAACTGCCCTCCATCAGTCTGGCTGGATTAGGTCTCATATTTTTCTCTCATTAATTTTTTATTATTATTTGGCAACCTTTTTCCCTATTAATATTCCCTCGTAACATCTCCCCTACATGAGAGTTTATGCATGATACTGTATTCGTGTGTATGCGGTCTGGTGAATTGGTGAATAAGTTAAGTGGGTGAGTGAAAGAGTGAGTGAGTGAGTGAGTGAGTGCATCTGCGTAAAGATCCACTACGGTGCCACCTCCACAACGCAGGAAGTTCTAGCTTCTTTTTGGGGGAAGGGTGGTCTGAAGGAGGAGGCCCCATTTTTTCCTTTTATATCGTGCACCAGACGGAAACAACTTCAATTGACCGCCCTGCCCCGACTCAGTGCGTTGGCCACCCGAGAGATCTTGGGAGATCACCACCTGGCATCTAAGCGAGAAAAATTTAAAAAATAAAAAATAAAAAATAAAAAATAATAATAATAATAATAATAATAATTGCCAGAGAGTCTTCGGATATGTCCTCCCTTCTATCTTCAGTCGTCTCCGAGAGTCAGCAGTAACTTTTCCTGATCTCGTCCGCTCCTTTTTGTCCTTCCTTTTATATCTCTAATTTCCCGTTTCTCAATATATCAATACTCTCCTTGTGTGAAGCTTATCTAGCCCAAGCAAAGAGGATTCTTATTTTTGCGTCTTCGTGTTTGTGGATTGGGTGTTAGTGTCTTCATCTCCCGGATCTTTTTCCTATTTACCCTTTTACAACTCCCCCAAGGATCCATTCGGCATATACCCAATTTCCTAGGCCGGGTGTCATCGAGGGATTAAGAGTGAGTGTGCGGTGTGGAGAGATGCACAGACTGAAGCGGCGAGTGCTGGACGACGTTCAGAAGGCATTTCGGCGTCGGAGCTCCACCTCCACACATCCAGCTCCAGGACTCGAGGGGCGACCATCACCGCCTCTAGCGGCAAGCAGCGAGTCCTCGAATGCCGCGGAAAAAACATCGCAGATGAGCTCTTCAGAGCAAGCTTGTGGTGACCACAAAGAGGCATCAGCTAGTAACCCTCTGCTAGAAAATACTGCTACGACTGCTCTGCGAAAAGTAACGTTGACTAGGGTCAGAAGTACATCGTCTCGCAACGGCTCATTAGGTTCTACGGCTCGGTCTCCCACATCTCCATCATCGCCATCACAACCGACAACTTCCCTCCCCTTCCCCTGTGAGGAGCCTCTCGCTTCCACCAAACTAGAGGATTGTCCTCGGTCCCTGCAAAGCACGGCGGAGATCTCTGGTTCTGGACCCCCTATCGGACCTCCTCCTCTTGCTATTATTCCTACACCAGTTTCCGGAAAAACCTCCTCGACCGCCTCTGTACCTCTGGATCTGGCAAACTCTCAGCCGCCCTCAAAGGGAAATCTTAGGCCAGCACTTTCCGACCGACCTCCACATTCACCACCTCCTCCCCCGCCAATTCAAACACACCGCCCTGGCCAAGACCGGAAGCAATCGCTTCTACCGGCCTCTGAGTCTGCCCTGGTTCAGGCTCTCCTCGGCTCTACTACCAACAATACTACTGCATTGCCAAAACCTAATACAAGCTCGCCGTTACTGGAGGAGTCATCAATTACTTTTCGTTCGGTCCCCGTCGAGTTTCAATTGCCCACTCCGGCTACCCTCGGGTCAGGTATGCTGAACGGGAGGGTTTGGGTGAAGAGACCTGGGGGATCACCCACCATTGTCAATGTCCGTGAGGACGATATGGTGGACGATGTTAGAGATGTGGTCCTGAAGAAATATCAGAATGCATTGGGAAAATGCTATGATGCTCCGGACATTTCTATAAGGGTTGTTCCTCGTCACTCAAGACCACGCTCACTTGATCACACTCCGGGCCGTAGCTATGATTCACAGCTTGGCGAACGAACGCTCAATCCAAACGAGACGGTTATTCGAGTACTGGATGATTATTTTCCCGGAGGTCAATCAATTGACGAGGCCTTGATTATCGAAGTGCCCTCGCTGCCACCTGTTGGGCGGAGGACACCTCGCCCATCACCGCATCATGGCTTTGGATCTCATCATGATGGCCACTCTGGCGTGGAAATCAATGACTATTTCTCTCCAATGGCATCCACAGGCTATCCACAAGCACCACCATCGTCATCCCAGATATCTTTGAGGGAACCCTCTATCGCAGTTTTGACAACAGGCCAGGTGCCAAACCTGCCTGGATCACCAGGGAGTACTGGTCGGAGGGGTGTGCGTCCGGGCACTAGACGTTTGCAAACCACATCTCCAGTTGTCCGCCCATCGGCTACCGAAGTGAGCTCAACAGCAGGACCCGGAGTAGTCCTGATGCCTCGCCAGAATCGTTCAAGGGTCAACTCCGATGCATCGAATACTGCTCAACCCCCCCAACCCCCTCCCATATCTGCACCCGCTGTGGAAGACAACACCCAAAAAGCCTCTACCCCTCCAGCCCGCATGGCATCCCCTCTTGCAAAGAAATTCAAGGAGAAGAAACAGCATACTTCGCCGGCGGGCTTATTACCCGATGGTGCTGTTCCTCCTATCAATGTCCTCATCGTCGAGGACAATGTTATCAATCTTCAGCTGTTAGAAGCGTTCATGAAACGCCTCAAGGTTCGCTGGCAGTCTGCCGTGAACGGGAAGGAAGCCGTGGACAAGTGGCGGGTTGGCGGCTTCCATTTAGTCCTAATGGATATTCAACTTCCAGTGATGAACGGGTTGGACGCAACCAAGGAAATCCGACGGCTGGAAAGGGTGAACTCCATCGGAGCCTTTTCGCAGTCTCCTTCTTCACCCTCGCGGGAGGATGCACCAGCCGTCCCCGACGAAAAGGACAAACTCCCTAATTCAATTCTCTTCAAGTCGCCAGTTATCATTGTCGCCCTTACCGCATCGTCCTTACAGAGTGATCGCCACGAAGCCTTAGCTGCCGGATGCAACGACTTCTTAACAAAGGTTTGTTTGTCCTTTGCTTGGATTTGCAATTCCCTCCTCCCACACCCGGAATGGACATTCATTCATATATTAACGATTACAATTATAACCATAGCCTGTGAACTTCATCTGGTTAGAACGCAAAGTAACAGAATGGGGCTGCATGCAAGCGCTAATCGACTTCGACGGCTGGAGGAAATGGAAGGACTTCACAAAGACGGAAAACGGCGGGGGCAATGAGGGAAAGAGTGGGAAAGGATTCCGCAATCAGCGACTCATAACGGGGCAGAAAGGTCCGGGTGGGGAACCCAAGCGATTAGAGGAGAGGAGCAATCTTATTCCTCTGATAGGTTAAGGAGCTTTGTCGGCTGGGAATATTTGCTGCCGGCAGTGGTGGGGATGGAGCGGTATGGAGTTCAATTGCAATTGATGAATACGAAACAAATTGGGGTAAACGGAGATATTGTTCGGCGCACCAGGGGAACAGGGTGATCTGGATATGGTCTTTGGGGGTTCACGAAACATCTTGTCGGAAATAGGATTCTCTGATTCATCAGGGAACGGGACGGGACCGGATGCTATGGTGGAGTTTTCTTTATATCCGTCTGTCTGGTGACTTGCTGCGTTGAGATCGCGAATATGGGTGTCTGGTTGTGTGTTGCTTTGCTTGCGCCTTTTCCTTTTCTTCTTTTTGCCTACGTTGTGTTGCTTTCTCTTTATATCATTGCCACCGACATTTCCCTCTTCCCTCGCTTCCACCGTTCTCTTCTCATATCCCCAGTAGGAATATTTGCCTTTCTCTGATACTGCTTCTTCTCCCTCGCGCTATTGTTTGGTAATACATGTATTAGGAGTTGCGCTGTTTTGGGGGGTGGAAGAAGGGAGGATATGCACACGGAAAGAAGCAGATCACTCACCGACCAACCAACAGGACCTTTTTTGTTATGGAAATCTCCTGACTTATTTACTCCTTCACCATCACCTACCGTTCGTCGTTTTGGTGATATATATATATCATAGCCACCCCGTTGTCTACTTTTTGTACATATATACCTGGTTATCCTATACCTCTCATCTATTTTCATTTTTACCCTTTTATACTTGATTTTTTTCCCTTTGAGGGGCTGGAAACAAAAACACATGCTCTCATTCACTTGTTTATTTTCATTTCTTGACTATTATAATCTTGGTGGCCTTTATTCTCCCCACAAACAAAGAATAGAGGTGTTTGGGGGCCTTCTTTCCTTTTTCCCTTTTTCTCTGCATCTTTGCATTGATCATGAGGCAGCACTCGATCGGAAACCCGAAAAATCTACAATAATATCATAACCTTTTGGGAAAGTTTCCTCATAGGTTGAGGGTTTTTTTTTTCTTCCCTTTTTCATGAAACCTGGTCCTTGTGAAGAAAGTGAGATTAGGAGTGAGGAGGGGGTGGTGGGAGTGGCGGTCGAAGGGGCCACGAGGGTTGTCTCGAACTGTCCTCTTGCTGCTGCAAGTATGGTACTCGTAATTTCGAAGCGTTTTTAAAAAGAACTCCTATCGCATACAACCCAGATCCAAGCAAGAGGGCCAAGTTTTGGTGGTATGCAATAGCGGTCCTTTTTAAAAACTCTTCAACGTACGAGTAGGGCAACCGGGTATGTAGGTGGTGCAGGATGAGCGGCTGTACGAGTAGTGTACTGCGCAGAGATCGCGGTCCTTGGGCGTTGGTTAATTGCTTTCTTAATGGATGTTAGGCCAGATCATTGATATTGAAAGGATTACCTTGCGCTTGCGATATACATCTCTATCTGGTGGTAGGTTCCTCGGCTGGCGTCCAGTGAGTGTCGATAGGACAGTCAGTATGAGCAGCGAGGGGTGAGGGGAGGCATAAACCCTGATAGCCCATCGCGAGATGCGGGTAGGCTATTCTAAATCGAACTGGATTGATTTTTTTGCTCGCCACGAGCAGCGGTATTCGGTATTCGGTGCTCGGTATCTTGTGAACTCCCAACCTGTCATAATTTGCCCCCTCTTGCGTGTGAGCCCGGGATTGATACCTGAGCACTGAGGCATCGGCTCGCCAGGTAGGCATAGGAATGTGCTACTGGTGTGCGAAGTCAAGTCAGTCAGTCAAAACAATAGACCCCGAGATGTGATAGGAGAGGGGGGGGACTTATGCTGCGTTGTTGATCGCTGTAGGTTTGGCAGATAGTTAGTTCTATGATTGGTTCGCGGATTTCGCGCTGAACTGTACAGTACTCGTACTATACACTTGCCCCTAGCCTTTCCTCAACAATTACAGCCCGAAAGGGTCACCGGTTGTTGTAGGTTTGTAAGCCCGAGGGATCGTGCTGTCTCTGATGTGCTGATTTATTGCTCCGGGGTATGATGTGTGGGGATGTATGGTATCTGGAAAGGTTAGAAGTTGTTCGCCCCGGCTTGCGCGAGCAGCAGCCTTACCGAGAGATTCTTTATATCATGCTAGAGACCTGGGGTCTCCGTCGAGGGTGAGGTTTCGATCGGATCACCCCTCGTGGGGTTGCAGGCATGAGTGGGTGCAGACCAGAACTGAAATAGATCAGGTTTTCAACTCTATCAATACGTTAGAAAGGTAAATCCCGTGCACCGAGGAGCACAATTTCTCGTATGATTGCTTTCTCTGGTGGGGAAGTTGTAAGCAACATTCCCTCACATATTAGCCAGTACGATACGCAGAATAGTCCTCCGACTTGCGAACATAATTTTCCTAACCGGCTGGTCCGTTGAGCCCTTGTCTTAGCCACTGATACTCGTTCATTTCTACCAAACACCTCGAGTCTCCCTCTGGAGCACAGGGTAGAGCCATTGTCACTACTACGCTCTCCAAGGAAATTCTTCATTCTGTCTTGGTGGCTATTTAAGGGGTATATCGGATTCCTGTATCCCTCACGTTCTCCCAGTCACTACAGGTCTAAACAGCGAATCACATTCCACCGCATGGACTGCGTATGAAGTGTAGAGTTGCATTAATTGCTTTTCCATTTCCTACCCCCAACTGTATGATCCCTCTATTTCTGGTATTCCTTCAGAGGTGGGAGAACCAGAACTGCCATCGAAGCAGGGAAAGGAACAGGACAACCCACTCTCGACGATAAAATCCTGCCGGCGCACCACCCATTGGTGGTGGGGGCTGAGTACCAACTGCAATCTGGCTCCCTGGTGAGGTGGGCAACCTTGAGCATTGCTTGAATGATGCGGATGGATCAACAGCAAAGAATAATAATCTAGAACGACCAATAGCCAAGCATGCTGACTCACAGGTGGTCACTCGGAATCCCAAATTGCCAACCCGTGAGTGCGAGTGCGTTTTCGTGAACTTCTTTAAAAATGGAGATGTTGAGGCATTTAGATACCATATTATTCTGGGCCCATAAAACACGTTGAGGGGATAATAAAATACTTCCTTAGGTAGAGGGGGGGCGAGTTTGGGGGGGAACGGGATGTGAAATGTGTTTGAGTTTATGCTTAGGGGGGGAGAGGAGAGAGATGTTTGTCTTGCTATCCGACGTGCAGAGGGTTAGCGATGAAGCGGGAACTTGGGGTCTGGTGTGGTATCGTACAGCATTGCCCTCAGTCCATGATAGCTATGGTCCGCGTTACGAAGCAAGAACAAGCTATCATACGAGTAGGTCAAGTGTGACAAAAATGGTTCCACAGTGCAGTCGTTGATAGACAATAAACACCCAACCTGATCTGAATAAGGCGTCCAATGTTGTTACTAGTCGGGGCCACATGAAGTAGAGGACATACGGGCTACTCGCACATCGGGCGATACCTCGCTCACCAAGTATTCTCTATTTCCAATGCATACGAATAACTATTTACCACACACTATTATCTATCTCTATGTATTCCACATGTGTTCTGAACAATACTGAAGGCTCCTGTGCTAGTCCTCTCTACTGCCCCCGACACCAAATTTGACGGAATACAAGTCTTACGTTCACAAGCGACACAGATAGGAAAAGCTCTCCTCAATGTAAGTTAAACCGAAAAGAAAAAAAATCCTGCCCTCGTGCCCAGCCCTACGGGTTCAAGTGCGTGCATCACCTGCCTCAATACGCGCTCACATCGCTATATCGGTCAAGTGTCTCATGCCCTGCTCGTGAGCAGCGGATATGGCCCCCACAACTTCACAATATCTGACTCCTCACACAGCCATCCGATACCCATTCCCGAGGGATCAGAATTGAGCGACACATTTCATGTATTCGAGTGCCGTATATCCTTGAGGAGGGTAAATAAACCCAGATATCAAAACAGTAGCCTTATCGAGGCACAGGGGATGTTGCTATGATAGAAAGGATTTGGTTATCTTTATCGCGGGGGCTGAGGTTGATGGCTAAGAGTGTACCGGCTTGGAGCGCTAGGTGGGGGTCTGATCGGCGTTAATTTCGTAATCAATAAATATTCGAATGAGCAAAGGCGAGTGAGTATTTATGCTTGGATTTGCTCTATCAGCATGGCGACGATAGCAGTCTAATCAACCTCCAGCGGTATAGCGCTCCCCCATCCGTACCCCGAGGCCTTTTCGGAATTGCGGCATCACAACACACGCTCTAGCTCTGTCGGACAGCGATTCATCCTCTATTCCACTAAGTCAGATATTTATATTCGGCAGGGCGCGCCGTGGCCCTGGGCGGTCCGCGTTCCACTCCTGCAAGCGCCTATTATTCCCTCCAGTATCGGTAGAGGTACCAACCCTTTTCTTCGTTCACCCCCACCACTCACTCGACCGACGCTGCATCGAAACAATCGAACAACTCACTCTGCTAGGTTGTGACTTTGGAGATCTCGCGGTGAGATCTAACTTATCGTCAAGGAACATCTGTAAAACCTTCGGCATCGATAGACATCAGAATTGCCAAGCAGACGACCGAAATTTTCCGCATCGTTGAGCAATTTTGTCCAGAAAAAACAGGATCCTTGCCAGAACCTCCTAGAATCACGTTCGCTTCCATCGATCCTTGAACTAAACCCGCAATGGTGTATTTCTCCTCGGAATCGCCTGCACAACACCGGTAGGAGAATGATCCGTAGAACCGGATATTTCTCCATCTCCTCAGTAAAAATAGAATCGCGGAACTCTCTGCGCTAAAAATCTTGACGCCAAGTACTCTATTCGTATCGTGCGTATCTTGTGTTTGACCGTTGACGCTCCAACGCTGCCCGCCAAACAATAGCCAAGATCCAGGATCGGGAGGGATACGGCGGCAATCCCGGCCGTTAATCTTCTGACGACGGCAAGTGTGAAAATGGTTATCTGTTGGTTTTCGTAGTAGGCTTTGAAAAAGTAAAACTCCCCAAGACTTGGTCGCTGAGTTGGTGCCGTACGAGTAGGCAGGCCCGGTAGTCCCATCATCCTCTTGGGGGCCCCGAACGATTGTAAAGGAATTGCTCGTGTTTTGTTCCCCACGCCGAGGCCAAGAATATTGGTAGAAACCGCGAGCATTAATTTCCCTGCTCGCTGGCTTGCTTGTTCACAAGCTACGCTGGCAGTACCTGTATCAAGAAAAATGACGAGTTAAAAAAAGGGGACAAATCCCAGCAACCTTATCCACACCAAATTCAAACACCCCACGAAAAAAGGAATCCTAGCGATGGTGAAGTCCCCTGTGCCAAAACCGGTACTCGAGTAGACCGAACAACCCTCCCCCCAAGCACTCCCTTGGCTCGCTCCGGTGCCACTGAAAGAAATTTCCATCCGACCCCAAACTTCCAAGAAACCAAGTGCCGCTAGTCGACTGTAATTCCTCGAGTGAGCCGTTATGACCGACGCTTATGTTCCCAAAAGGGAACCCCCCGGTGCGCCAAGGCGGACAAGGTCGTTAAGGTCTCCTTTCCCTTCCACTGCTCTCCCTTTGGTATAAACAGGCGAGGCGAGGCATCCGCAACGTCTTCCCACTCCTAGGGGAGGCAGAATGGGGCGGGGAGCTGGTGCAAGAGAAAGAGAGAGAGGGAGAGAGGGGGAGAGCGACCTTCAAATATAGCAAGTAGAAGCAAGCTTCTTTTACTGCTCGTCCTCACTACTGACCGCTTGCAAGATTGCGATACGCGCGTCATCTTGCACCGTGCCTGTAATCCGTCCGGGGGAATTCCTCCTCGCTCCGGGCCGCTTGCGGATCGGGTGGGCTGAGACTCATAACTCGAGTGCGGCCTCTCCTGCGATCTGTAATGTACAATACCGATATGTCTGCAAAATACGTGGCTTGAACTACACACACAGACCATACTCGTACTGTATGGTACTCGACTTGTAACCCACTTGCAAGGGCGAGAATACACCTCCAAGGCCACCTTATTGTAACGAGGCCATTTTTTCTT